TAAGTTTGAAGAATTTGGTACTGGATCAACTAATAATCCCCTGATTTATATTTTTCCTTATTCTCATTAGTTGTCTGCATGAAGTTATATTGAAATTGTAAGGAGAAATTCTGTTTTGGTCACTCACAGGAGCTAAAAAGTTAACAAAAGCAACCAAACTGTAGAAAGAACATTCACATCTACAAGACTTGCAGTAACCAATCACTATCATAAGGAAAAAAGTTTTGAAGTTTTCTTTTTTACCAAACAACCGCTACTTGTTATTTCAAGCCTTTTATATGAAACAAGAACAAGACTAAAAAATATTTAAATACGGCTATAGCATTGTAGTAGAAGAAGTAGAATGCATCTTTTAGGTTTTCAAACTAAACACCAAAGATAGGAATTGTTCATAGTTTATGGTAATCCATCCACTTCGGTTTGTATCAAAGCCCTGAAAGGCACTTGTCAACATCTGAAAAGAAATAGAAGAAAAAAATTATGAGCAACAAGATGGTGACACACTACAGCCATGGGGAAATATTACTATCATGGTTTCTAAAATAATTTAAAGTTCATAAATTCCATTAATAATAAGCTATACAATGGTAGAATGTGATTATAACTGGTAAAGGAAGTCAAAGGATTTTGACCCTTTACACCCTAACATTAGTATGCATATTTTCCATACTGTTCCCTGTACATTTTCTAAACTGCTGACAAGGAAAATTATTTAATGATCAAAAGCTTCAGTCTTTCTTTCATTTCCTTTATTCTCACAACTTAATGTTTGATTCAGGGGTGAAATTGTAAGGAGAAATTAGTTGCTGGTCATTCTTAGGGGTTAAAGGGTTAACAAACTGTTAAGTTAGGAAAGTTCTGCTGCAAAATAAGTGGGAGTGAAGTTCACAGAGGTGACTTTCTCTCTAAAGTGAAAACATGCATGGAATGATATTCCATTCCTGAACTAAAGGCTATATGTATCACTGATCAACTCTGATGAATCACAAAAGGTAAATGTTGCCAATCTCATTTTTTGTGTTGTTGTTATAGAGAGAAGAAGCCTCAGTCCAAAAACAATCTCAAGGACCAACAGGTAAGGTCAATCAAAGGTTTAATACATGAACAGAAAGTTTTACCAACAAATTTTTCTACAATGCAAACTAGATTAACAAAAGTTGCCTTTTTCTGTTTCTGTTTTTTAAGCTGAATTACCAAAGTAATTCAGTATATGGTGAGTATTTAAGTATATGGTCTAACTGGTCCAGTGACCGGTTAGATCACCATATACTTATTCTTGCCAACTCACTGAGTCAGCCATGCAATAAAATTTCGTATCTATTACTGACCTGTATTACCACACAACATTGAATAAAATCATCAAAATTGACAACTCCTTTGCCACTGCGGTCAAACTTTTTGATCAAAATACCATAAAATCTCTCTGATAACCTGTAACCTTGAAAAGAAGTACTTCATATCAATTGTCTGCTGATTTTAAAAGTTTCTTTGTGTATAGATGCCACACATAAACATTGAATAATATATAACATGAATTTTTATCAATTCAGTTTCATTAAAAAATATTTTAAAAGATTCTTTTTGGGTACAGCACTTACCAAAACTAGTCAAGGCTACAAAAAAAAGTAAAAAAAACAAAATTTAGTTAGAAAAATCTGGGTATCAAGCTAAATTACATATACCATGTATAATTATGTAAAATTATCAGAAGGGCTACAAGATAAAACAAAAAATGTCCTTATTTGTCTGCCAACTCTTCTTAGTAGAAGTAAATTTTGGATAATATTACTAAAATGGAGAATATTGCTACAATATTGCTATGAGGGGAAATAAATGAAAGAAGGTTCTGTCCTAAACTAGAATAAAAATACAAGTATATATCCATTCTTTTCAAGAGTAGTTTTATGGTTAGATATTTTTTGTGATTTTCGATCATGTCTTAGCCAGCAACCTCATTTCATAGGTAGAGACTAGAGAAAAGTGGAAAAAAAAACATAAACCCTTCAAAACCCTAACAGTGACCAACATTTTATTTCTCCTTACATTAATGCTATCGAATCATTCAGTGCTATTAGGAGAATAAAGGAAAACAGTTCCAACATGAGAGGCTTTGATTGTTAAACTAATTCTCTTTAACGTATGGAGAAAAGTTTGAAGATGAAATGGATACTGTTAGCTTGGAAATAAAGGGTTAAAGGATTGGGGGAACTGTGTCAAGTCCTTAGATCAATCATGGATTCCAGATTTCCGGAGAATTCTATTTCTGTGACATGTATATAAAAATTGGAAGTCAGAATTATTTATTCACCCTTCCATTTGAATAGGTTGATAAATACCTGTTTGCAGCTCTCTCTTATCTATTGATCCTGAGTTATCCTTGTCATAACTTCTGAATGTGGTCTGCCAATCGGATATGTATTTCCACAGAGATGCAAACTCTTGAAAATTAATAGTTCCATTGTTGTCACGATCAAACATTCCTGTATACATGAACGATATATTATTGATAACCAGTCAAGTCATCTCACACTAGTAAAACAGACACAGTATTTATTAATTCTGTCAATCATTGATGTTCAACATGACGCAATTCAAAACTGACAATACAAAGACAGTGCTCATGTCTTTGAAAATGCAGATAATATTTTGCCTTTTATTCAGTGGGCTATAATCGTAACTTAACACCTCACTTTTAAATTTCAAATGGCTAAAACTTATAGCTGCACGCATCAAAAATCAAATTAGGAACAGAGGATGAACAAAAATTTCTCAGCTCCTCTTCCAGATCATGATTAAGATAGAACTAAATATAAAATATCCTTCAAGATACGAGTAACAAGATCGACGCTTATCAGTTAAAGTAAATGTTGACTTGTAATTATAAAAGTGTCCTTTAAGATATGAGTAACAAGATCATCGCCTACCAAATGAAGTAAATATTGGCAAATATAAAAGAGTCATTTAAGATACGAGTAACAAGATCAACGCTTATTGAATGAAATGTTGACTTGTAAATATAAAAGGGTCCTTCAAGATATGAGTAACAAGATCAACAATCAATAAATTTAGTACATGCTGACTTGTCAATGAAAAATAATGGATAATGAGATCAGTAATGTTTATTTATAGAGTTGACAAAAGAATCGAAGAAAATCAACGAGGTCAAGAAATCGTTTGATACAAACCTATCATGAGTCGTACAGTTTCCGGGTTGAAAGGCGTCCAAGTCCCTGTTAAATAAATTAAATGGTATATCAATGCTATTTAGTCACATTATAAATAATGACTAATCGTATAAATGATGATCAAGCTCAAGAATGAAAGTGTACCACACCATTTGACAGCGCCTGTTGGAGTTCGTTAGTAGAGATACCACCACTTCTATCTTTATCCACTCTAAAAATAAACCCAAAAATTATATTAAGAGTGTTTGACACAAACTTCCACCCAAATTATTCAACTATCTATTGTATTCATTTCTACCTCTGGAAGACATTCCATAGGAAATTCTGATCGTGTTGTGGATGTTGTTGACCGTAGTACGCCATGTTTGTAGAAAGCTGCAACGGACGGAGTAGCGTGGTGGCAAAGTCATAGGAAAATCTTTGTGAGGGCTGGGAAAGGGGCTGGGGTTAAATATCGTCATACTGTCATTAGCGTCAAGTACCCACCAACAACATCACAATAATAGAAAATATTTTTATATTTGATTTTTATTTTGAATTTTTTCAGTGTTAGAAGTGCTTTCAGTGTTATTTCCTGCGACTAAAAATGAAGATCGAAATCTGAACTAGCTACCACCCCCTTAGGGACAGATTTGCAATTATTGGGCATTGCAGACTTAATGAAGGAGGTACGTTTGTACATTGCAAACTGATCTGACTTCGTCATGGCGGGATTGCCTGTGGATAGGAATTTCTTGTGGACCATGTTCTCCAGGTGAGTGCTAATGAAAGAGATGTTGTTCACTCCAAAATTAAGGCTAGATGCATTTGTCCAACGTTGATTTTTTACACTTTTCTCGGGGGCGAAAAGAAACCGAACCGATAATATTCTTGATATGCATAGCTAAGCCTATTAAAAATTACTAGCATAATTGTTTCAGCGTTGTTATTGACAAATTAAGAAGAGATAAATGGCTTATTTAACTTATCTATCAATGGTAAGCCCAATTTTATCCCGTGTTCGAATAATGGAAAGTGATTAGTAGAGTGTGGAGTTGCATGTTATGTGCAAGTTATGCGTGTACTCGCCGCCAGAGTCGCCGCCAGACGTTAATTGTCTCTGTTGCTCCTCAGTGCAATGAATTGACTTCTTGTTTTAGTGTCATGCTGGAATGACAGCAAAGCTTTGGTGATGATTTTATTTCATCAGTTATGAATTTATTTTGAACTTTTCTGTTTTGTAGAATTGACACAGATCGAAGTGGTTCTATTTCAGCCGATGAACTTCAACAAGCTCTTTCAAATGGTAATCAAGAACGTCAGCAAGGGTTATAATGAACAACAGCGCCCTTCCTCCAAATAACTGTCAAGTGTTGACCAATAGATCACTTGCAGGCTGGCTAAATGTCACTATCTGTTAGCTATCTGTCCCCTGACTGTTTTCTGTAGATGATTTTGTCAAATCCTGGTTGCTAACAAATTACATAACAATTGCTGAATAACTGGATAACAGTTGGTTTACAAACACCCTATTGCTGGAAAACAAACAACTACCAGTTTACTCACGAAGAAATGGCTGCCTTTTTTGGACCTTTTCTTCAAGAGCATTTGCAGGAGAAATTTTTTGAACACTATGTGCATCGTATCAGTCTCCCAATTCATGACTTCTCTCTCACAGCCCAAACTCTTAAAACTTTTTCTTGAAGAAGCTGATTTGAAGAAGATTTCAACTGGGTGTTCAAAGTGGTCCAGAATGAACGTTTTCACTTCCAGGAGTGACCAAAAATAAAAATCTCTACCCACGATATCATACTGTTACAAGTAAAGAGGTGATTAAGAGAAAGGAAAACGTAATTTTGGGGATATTGTTTGATTTGACACCAAATTCTCTTAGCCAAAATTCTAAGAAATGACTGGAGCACAGTATAGAGAATTTTTATTTTGATCTTGGGAGTGAAAGGGTTTATTGGTTTTGAATTACTTTGCTCTGTGATTTGTCTAAAAGAAGCTTGCACTTCCCTTCTAAATAGTCAACTTGCTCACTCTCCTTGTCCTTTCCATTAAATGGTGTACATTTGTTTTCTCTTTGTATTATAGTTACTCTTCTGTAGGGTAATTTAATTTCCATTCTTTTCTAGGAGCCTGGACACCATTCAATCCAGAGACAGTGCGCCTTATGATTGGTATATACTGATTTTCTATAATTCCACAATGATTTTGGTGTGAAAAGTAATTATTACAAGGTGCTGTTGGCAAAGAAATATTCTGGAAAGAAATGAGCAGCAGGGTCAAAGAAAGTTTGGAAAGTGTACTTTAACCCCTCAAGCTCCCAAGATCTCTTTAGTAATTCTCCTTACTCTCTGCTGCACAATTCTTATGATGTTAGTTAAAGAATTTAGAATTTGAACAACTAATAATCCCCTCATTGATATTTTACTTTATTCTCATCTTTTGTCTGCTTGATATTGTGCTGATATTGAAAGGAGAAATTCTATCTTGGTCACCCATTAGAGTTAAAAGGTTACTTTATTTTTCTGATAGGTATGTTTGATCATGATAACTCAGGGGCAATAGAGTTCAATGAGTTCCAGGCATTGTGGCAGTATGTAACAGACTGGCAAAGAACATTTAGAAGTTATGATCAAGACAACTCTGGAACCATTGACAGGGAAGAACTCAAGACAGGTAAAGTTACCCTGCCCAATAACTTAGAGTGTAAATAAGAACATGATCTCAACAGTATATTAGGGATTTAATTTTTATACTTACATTTCTCTGAACAATTTTGATTGCCTTATCAGTAAACTGTCAGAAGCCACTTTTCTCAAAACAGTTGGTTTATATATGGTTGCAGTTTGCATGGAATTACTGCAGGAAATTTCATATGTTTTGTTATGAGGTAGTTTACCTTTACAAATTCAGCATTTACAAGAATTATGAGGGAATTTTCTCTGAGAAGTTCCCCTTAAATTTTTGAGAGGGTTAAACTTCCTCTCAAATTTTTTTAACTTTCTCTCAAAATTTCAGGGTTCATTAATGTCCCCAGCGACAGTGGTGGACAGACATTTGAATTGCTTTAATTTGCACAATTCTGCTGTTATACAGTTATTTGTAGTGAATTGCTTACTAGTTTGTTGAATGATGTAAAACACATTTCTTTTTCTTTTTTACACAGCTCTTACAAACTTTGGTGAGTTTTGCAATTCACTACTTAGAACATCATTATGGTATTACAAACATTAGCCTTTGTGGGTTGAAATTGATGCTACTAGAAATTACAGCCCACATGCACAATTAGTGATGAGTGATCATTTTTATTTTTTTCGTTTTTTTAACAGGGTACAGATTGTCTGAGAGAATGTACACTATTCTTATAACAAAGTTTGATCGCTGTGACAGAGGCTCAATCAACTTTGATGATTTCATTCAGTGTTGTCTGATATTACAGGTATTCAATAAAGTTGTTATTCAATCTATCATGAGTATGGAACAAAGAAAAATTCTGAGCCCCTTGTACAGAATTGAACCCCAGAAGTTTGGGTTTTGGTTCATATAATACAGTGCCACTGAGCTTCAGAAGACTTTTTGGCCCGCACAATTTGTTTGAAGGATGGATAACTCTATCCACTATGTAAATCTCTTTCTGGTTGATAAATTTTCTTTGCACCTATTCACTTGATAGCAATTCATCCTTTGAATAGCATTATCCTCTTTCTGAACAATCACACCAAAACCTTCAGATTTTGTTGTCTGATGCACCATTACTGACCACAAATAGCTTCAGTAGTTTACTTGGTTTTTTAATTTATTGATTTTATTCGTCATTTCCTCTCAGATTCTGACAAATTCCTTCAGAAGCCGTGACCGAAATCTGAATGGCTGGATAACAATAGGATATGAAGATTTCTTAACAATGGTGTTAAGCTTGAACCTAAATTAGATACTCTTTGAAAAGGTAACACATGTTTGTACCACTTCAGATTGTTTATTATAGTACTTACCAAGAAGGATAGACCTTCAGGAACAAGAATTGAGAGGTCAATTCTTAACTTAGATGAATACACATACAATAGGGGACCTAGGAATAATGTAACAATGAAACCAGAAAAAAAACCCAATCAAAGAAAAATATGAGAATGGATCTAACAGAAGATTCCACTGATTGAAAGTGATCCTCGCAGTAATGTGCACTACTTAGGCAGTAGTGAAAATAAGGCCTGAAAAAAATTCATTTCTTCAAAAAAATCCTGTACAGGCCTGAATTTTTTTTCAGGTCTTATTTTCATTACTGCCTAAGTAGTCCACATTACTGCGAGGATCACTTTCATTCATGTCTTTATCCACAGTTCAAATATATGACTTTCATATATTCTTATCTGTTTAGAAGATTCCATTGAAGGAAAAATTTAAACAGAAAATTTACCCAGCTTTAGGATCAATCTCCTCCCAACCCAAAGATCTGAATCTTCAGTCTTGTCACTGTTCTTCATACATTATACATTTTCTTTAAATTTTGTCCTTAGGAACTTGATTTCGAATCAAACAACATTTATAAGTTGATGTTTTTCCTTCTTCTAAACACCTTTGTCCAGGACGATGTACTGATATATGGTGAAGAGAAATTATGGCTTGGTCACTCCTAGAGGTGGACAGGTGGAGCTGAAAATTTTTTATAACATTTCTACTCCCACGGATAATTTTACAATAATGTGTAAAGTTTAAGATTATTATCATTTAGAATATATCATTTTGACAACTGAATATTTCAGATTGTAGTAATAGATAATATCATGTCAATGATGGCAGTTAAATAAATATTAATAGACTTGTAAGATATGCCCAGAAAAAATTGTCATGGAGCTGAAAAATTCTTATAACATTTCTGCTCCCACGGATAATTTTACAATAATGAGTAGAGTTTAAGATTATTATAATTTAGAATAATTACTGGCATCTTGTATCTCCTTATAATATCACCCCTGAATCAAACATTTATATCACAAGTGTAAAGGAAATGATCACCAACTAATTTAATGGATGAAAGGGGTAAGTTTCTAAAGAAACTGTAGTGCTGCGTCAATCACTCTGACGAAGGGCTAACGCTCAATGCGTCAGCTTTTTAGCCTTTATGGTGGCTAATTTATGTTTTCAACTCAGTTGTTAACACTAAATTACCTAATTTAATGGAAGCTCTGGATTTTAAACAGCACCTCAGGAAATGCAGAGAGAACAGTGTGGCAAATATGTATTCCAAGTTAAAGAGTAAAAGGTTAATGGCACTGGTTATTTGTAACAGGCACATAGAAAGTAACTATGCAAGCAAGACAAAACCAACAAGTTTTTATTAACAGCCTTGGTCAAATTAAGGTGGACATTTATTTTGCCTGCCTCATAATTAGAACATTTTGTATCAAAGTGATGTAGTTTAATATTTCTTGTAATAAATATTAATTATTCTTCATCCTGTGTCATCCTTCATCAGTTTTATAATATTAAATGGCTGTGGACTTGACATATTCTTATTAGAACAAGTAAAATGTGTGTTTATGATAAATGTAATGTAAAAAAATTATTTCTCTGAGAAAATTACAGTGCACATTGTGTTAATTCATGGCCTATGTACTATAGCAAAGTTACTTAAAGCTGTATGCACAAAAAAATGAATGTGTTCATTTTGACCTATACAAGCCAGCTCAGAAGCAAAGCCTAAATATACAGCATGACTTCAAATGTAGCTGCATCGGTCCTTACCAAAATAATGTCTTATTAATGAAGTTTTAGGGCCTCTTCACACGATCCCACCATAACTTGAACCTTAGCATGCGACCACTTTCAACCATTTGACAGCGAAAGATTTTTATAAAATAATTCAAATAGTACGTGTGCTCTGATTGGCCATAAAACCATTTTACATGTGCGTATGTAAACACGATTTTCGTTCCTCTTTCATTAGTTATTTAAGCTTCGCATCGTGGTTTCCTACGCTTATCTCGTGTTCTCCCAACCTCCCGCGTGTTTACATCAGGCTATGTAAACACGGAAACCATTTTACATTTCTTCATTCTATCATGGTAGTGTAACCCAGGCTTACAAAAACTGCAGGATCATGTAAAGAGGCCCAAAGAGCATTTGAGAACACTCTCACTGGTGCAATTAACTTGTTCTGTAATGTGAGAGCCTATTGAAAAAAAAAAAAAAACAGGGGAAGGTTGCTGTCTCCCCTGCTTGTATCTGCAAAACATTAATCTCCAACCAATCAGAATATCATATTCTGCCTTTAAAACTCAAACTAATACATTATACTTAACGCTAGAACAGGAACTTTTAACTCAACCGTAATTAAGTATAAACTGTTGCAAAGTGCATCAGACATACAGTTTGGATTTACAGTGGATAAAATCAGCCACCGTTGTCCGAAATTTCTACATAAACTAGCACAACAAACAGAAGATTTGACTGTGTGACTGAACCCCAAATGGGTAATTCTGTTGGCATTTTATCATAAATGCTGCCTTCTGATTGGCTACACTACTGGCTATCTATCATATGGTAGATAATGAGTACAAGAGGTAGCCTAATAGAGTACAGTTGTAAACAAAGATAGATAAAAACATGAGCTAGTCATCTTGTTAAGTTTTGAATGTCTGGTAGATTTATATTAAAGCAAGTATATAATATCCAGTCCTGATTTCTATGCATAACAGCTGATTTAGACTTTGCCTTTGCCAACTCTCATGCAATAGAATTCTCAAGCTTATAATCTAATGGATGAATAGTCTGGCTAGAATCTGTGAGAAAATGTTGCAGCATGATTTACAATCCAGGACCACCCTTCCTCACCCACTTCATAGTTAGAGGGGATGAATAGCTAGGAAAACAACATTGCTCCAGTTTACTTTGGTAACTGCCTGATCACAGCAGTCTTCTTTTTGTGGTTGCACATTAATGGCTTAGTCAGTTAACAATGATCGCATTACTATTGAATGTTGGCATGATCGAGCCCTAAAAACTCAACTAGAACACCCAAAAAAGATATCTGTTCATTTCCTGACCAGTCACTTTCACTAACTTAAGTATTTTGGCATGTCATTTTTAAAATTTGCTTTAGATTTTGTCTTCCTAACTTGTGAGGGTAAGAGGGCCAAAAGGGTTGGTCTTGAACATGTCTTATCATGATTGTAGGGTAAAGAGCAGTAAAGAACAGTATAGCTAACTGAACCATTTTGTTTCATTAATTATTAATTCAGAAATTAACAGTACATGACTGCCAATAAATACAGATATTTAGAAGGTACAATACCTCTTCTTTTAAAATAATATAATTCATGTGATATTATTAATTTAAAAGTTTGCTTGCAAATACAGCCTGCTGCAAAAGGGCACAGCCCTTAATGCTCAATTCATTTTAAAATATTGTTCTATGTACAATTTAATAATATAAGCTAATTGACTGATAAGGTCATACAGCAATGAAAAAAATTCAGCACATTGATGAAATGTAAAAAAAATTATGCAGATTTCTGAAACCTGAATACTGACATCTGACTCAACTAAATCAGTAAATAAGCATGAGTGCCACCTTTTAATTTTTAGACAAAGGTGTTACCATGTTCATGACTGTTTAAACTATGTGCATGAAAAGGGAATTGAATTTATTTGTACCTTGCATGACTTTAAAATTCCTCTCAGACTCATAAATGTGAAGCTGTCCTTCAATACTTGAGGTGAAAATTTTTTGTTGTTGTTGTTCTCATTCACTTGCAATTCTTATTTTAGCTAAACAATAAAATTCCAATGATAGAATGGAAAAGTCTAGCTAAAAATTCCACTTCCAATTATTTTACTTTTTTTTAAAACAATTTCTTGTAGTGAGAGCATAATCTATTTAATGCCAGAGGTTGACCAGCTGTTCTTCGTGCTCAGTTTACCTGTAGATTATCTTTGTATTAAGTGGTCTAAAAACGTGTTTTAAAATGGAGTTTGATTTAAGTATGTTAATTATATCTACATAACAAACATTTATTTACATGTGCACTTATGGATATGAATTTATTATATTGAGTCACAAATATCTCTCAAGCCTGTCATTTACTCACTTGTGAGTGATATTATAAAAAAACAAGATAAAATTTGTATCCACACACTTCCATGTACCATCCTCTATTTAATTTACATGTCCATCTGTGACTAAGGTGGCTGCTTCAAAGGCCAATTTGAAAGATTTCCACTAGCTGAAGGAGAGACAGAGCTATAACCTAAAATAACAAAACATTATGTAAATAAAAAAGCTACTGAGAGAATCTATGAGGCTTTCATAATACAGTATAGTTTCCATTCTTGGGTATAAATACATTAGGGCTGACTCTGAGTCATTTTAGCCTAAGCTGCTAGGCAAGGGTTAGCATGACTCTAAGAGTGGCTCAAACCAAATTTATGCCCATTGACTTAAATTGTATATAATTTACTAGTATCATCACTTAGGAGGGCATTGAGAAGATAACAACTGTTAAAAAAAAAAAGACAACGAAACAGTCTGAACAATCACGTGAGTGTGTGAGTGGACTAAAATCCAAAATCTCTTTTTTTGCTCACAAAATGTGCCACAATGCCCACCAAAGTGATAGCAATAAATTTTTTTCATTACAAGTAAATGGTACAGTGATTTTCCCCTTAAAATTTTCAGCTATCCCTTTAAATCCCAGAAGTGTTTTGGATTAAAACTAGCATGTCAAGACCTTGACCAGAAAACAATTACAAAACTAACCAACAGTATAAAGAATTACATGACACATTCTCTGAACTACTTGGTAAGGAAAGGATCATTAGGAAAGATTAATATTGTGCATCAGAACTTTGGAGCATATGGAATAAGGCCATTTAAATAATTTAGGCATTTAATAACAGAGTCAAAGAAGAAGCTGTAAATCTGTGAATAATCTTTGCCTCTAAATTTATTCAAAATGTTCATTAGGTAACATAAAAAAGTAAGTAAAGCCTTAGGTAACATAACTTACAACAAAAGAATGTTTCACTCACCACTTGTACCATGTGATTTGCTCCCCTGGAAACTGGACAAAGTTTCATGTAAATGTTGCCTCTCGCGATCCTGTAAATTAAAACCAAATAAAGAACATCATTTATCACCTTTTAAAAGTTTTCTTGATATCTTTGTTTAAATTCTTGGTAATAAATATCCCTTGAAAAAGATTGTTTATGTGTTGGAATATCTTGAATTTAATACTAGTGTCATTTTCTCCATTTTAAGGTCAAGAAAAAATCTGTTTCATCTGACAAATCCTGAAAGCTATCAGAGTTTAAATATCCTGCTTCACTATAAAGGTGGGAATGCAAATTAGAATCTGATTGTTTCAACAGTTCACTACTTTGAAGAACAGATTTCAAGTTCTGCCTTTTTTTCCCTTTTCATGACAACTTAAGGATGTTTTTTAAATGAAAATTATGAAAAAAAATGAAAAAAAATCCCACAAGAAATTTATCCAATGACATTATCTGATAATCCCTTTGATCACCAAGAGACAAAAATGACACAATCAAACAAGGTTAGGTGTCCAACACAACAAACAAAAAAGATAGGTTTGTTTCTTGAAAAGACAAGCTGTATGGGTGTAATCAAATAAAATCTTAAAAATTTTTAGTATGACCATTTTCTCATTTCCCCCATATATTTTTCTTAGTTGTACAGTGTAATACAGTTGCATATTTTGCCCATTATTTTGCCCTATGGTGGTAACATAGCATGGTAGTGGAAGAATTGTTAGTTGTTCCTGCTATGGATACCTTATGGATAACCTCTACAAGATATACCCCAAGCAGACTTTTCCTTCATTTATACCTTGCTACTTTTAATTTCAGCAATGGCTGTAAGGATTTGTTGTCTGGCATCTTTCCGCGTAACTCCAAGTTCACTAAGATCTCCATCGCTTAAGGTTAGAAAGGACTCCATGTCCACCTAGCAACAATAGTTCATAGCAATTTTTCAAAAGGTGACTCAAGTTAAAACTATGTAGACAACAACATAATAGCAATAATAATAATAATAATAATAATAATAATAATAATAGTAATAATAACAACAACAACAATAATGATAATAAGCTTATTTGTTGACATTCTTCTGTCTGTGTTGTTACTTTTGAGTACCATATTAAAATATGTTTCTAGTTAATCACAAGATGAAGTCATTTGCTGCCTGACAGGCAACAAAAATAACACATATTTATCATTTTTAAGGTTAATATTATCAAAAGGTTTATATGGCTATTCATTGTTGTTAAATACAACGGTAACTAAGTACTAAGTGCTTGTCTCATAATGAAGTCAATTCCCAGTGTATTACAACTTGGTCTTCACTTCAGCAGTGGGTTTGTTTACATGCTGAAAATCAATAATTGACTTTATACAGATCACAAGAGTTTAAAAATTTGTCTTTCATTAAATTTT